GAAACTCCAAACTTTCTTCAACACAAATAGGCTTGGTTTTTTGTCTAAGCCAATCTTCGACACAAATAAGACATTGGACACATTTGGGAGTAATGAACTTCTAAAGGGATCTAGAATACGACCACCGGTGCTAAATGCACATTCGGATGATACACTCGACATAGGAAACCTATACATCTCGAGCCAACTGTGAAGTACAGGAAATCTAGGATAATTAACTTTCCACCAACTCAAAATATCAAAATCTCCAGATTCAGGCTCTTGGTCTTCAAGAAGATATTTATCCAACTCAGATTTAACACCTAAACTTCTAGAATCTTGTTTTTGTTTCTTCATGTGCAACTTAGTTCTCATAGATTTTTTGGACAAATTTTGAGAAATATCACAAGCAGAAGAATCAGATGAGTCAGATGAAGATGATTGACTTTTGGAACCTTTTCCATACTTACTTACATATATCGCAAACAAATCCCTCAAGTAAGCCTCTACTTTCGTATTCATTACATTTCCCATTTCTTCCCCAAGTAATTCTTCAAGAGCAAAACTAACATACACAAATTTATTGCGAGGATCCAAAACTAAAGCAATAAAAATCATTTTGGTCATTTTTTCATGAGTACCCCAATATTTCTTGAATTTTTCTTTCATTCCCGAAGCCATTTTACTCAAATCAAGGTCATCACTTGCCATACATAATTTCAAATAAGCATCAAGTTCACATATATCTTCAAAATGAACATTACAAGTAACATACCGTGAACCTGAAACTTTCAAAGTGAACTCATAAAATTTTTCAAGAAACTTTGTAACATTCCTCACATTAGCCCAATCTTCATATTGAATTGAACTTGCGATACTTCCTTCTTCACAAACTTCAGTAGCAAGAGAATTAAAATTACCATCATAAAGATCAAACCTCTCAAAAGCCTTCTCAAACTTTTCTGATGTGTCTAACATCAAATAGGTGGAATTCCACCTAGTAGGAACATCTAAAGACAACATCTTATCACATTCTATCTTTTGCATTTCAACACATTTCAAGAAGTTTCTTATTCTTGAAGAAGACGATCTAACATATTTCACTATTTGTCTCACCCTTTTGATAGAAGGACCAATTTCTTTCAAACCATCTTGCACAATTAGATTAAGTATATGAGCCATACATCTCACATGGAGATGCTTACATTCCATCAAATTAGTTCCCCACATATATAATTTTTTGGACAACTCTAAAACTGCCACATCATTTGAAGAGGCATTATTAACAGTAACAGTAAAAACGTTATCCAACTTCCAATCAAGTAACCAATTACTAATAGACTTAGTCAAATGCTCACCTTTATGACTAGTGATAGAACAAAAATTCAATATTCTTTTATGAAGCACCCAATCCCTATCAATTAAGTGAGCAATCAAACACATATAATTGATTCTTTACACCGAAGTCCATGTTTCTGTTGTGAGACAAATTCTTGGTTGTATTTCTCTGAAAGATTGTTTCAAATTTATTCTCAATTCACCATAAACTTCATAACAATCCCTTTTGTTATGGTTATACGAGAAGGAATATGAAACAAAGGTTGGACTTTACTCATAAACTTCTTAAAGCCTTCTTTTTCAACAAAACTAAAAGGTAGTTCATCCAAAATTATCATCTTAACTAAATCTCTCCTACATACCTCTTGCTCAAATTTCCAACTTTTGTTACTTTGAATATTTTATAACTTTTTGAATACCGGGTGCAATAGTCGGATGTTTATAGACTTTACACCGATAAGTCAAATGTTGTTTTAGTCCACTTGTTCTATTTCTTGTTGTATTGGCAGCATAGTATTTTTACAATGTAAGCACTTTGCTTTTCAGAATTTCGGTGGTTCGGTTTGGTGTTTCGGTTAAGCAAAGTGCTTACATTGTAAACAATACTATGATGTCAATACAATAAGAAATAGAACAAGTGGACTAAAACTACATTTGACTTATCGGTGTAAAGTGTATAAACCTCCAACTGTTGCATCCGGTATTAAAAAATTATTAAATATTCAAAGTAACAATTTAGAGACTTGGAAATTTGACAAGAGGTATGTAGGAGAGATTTAGTTAAGATGATAATTTTGGATGAACTACCTTTTAGTTTTGTTGAAAAAGAAGGCTTTAAGAAGTTTATGAGTAAAGTCCCACCTTTGTTTCATATTCCTTCTCGTATAACCGTAACAAGGGATTGTTATGAAGTTTATGGTGAATTGAGAATAAATTTGAAACAATCTTTAAGAACAACCAAGAATTTGTATCACAACAGAATGGACTTCGGTGCAAAGAACCAATTATATGTGTTTGACTGCTCACTTTATTGGTAGAGATTGGATGCTTCATAAAAGAATATTGAATTTTTGTCCTATCACTAGTCATAAAGGTGAACATTTGACTGAGTCTATTAGTAATTGTTTACTTGATTGGAAATTGGATAACGTTTTTACTGTTACGGTTGATAATGCCTCTTCAAATGATGTGACAGTTTTAGAGTTGTCCAAAAAATTAGATATGTGGGGAACTAATCTGATGGAAGGTAAGAATCTCCATGTGAGATGTATGGTTCATATACTTAATCTAATTGTGCAAGATGATTTGAAAGAAATTGGTCCTTCTATCAAAAGGGTGAGACAAATGGTGAAATATGTTAGATCATCTTCTTCAAAGACAAGAAACTTCTTGAAATGTGTTGAAATGCAAAAGATAGAATGTGATAAGATCTTATTTTTAGATGTTCCTACTAGGTGGAATTCCACCTATTTGATGTTAGACACAACTGAAAAGTTTGAGAAGGCTTTTGAGAGGTTTGATCTTTATGATGGTAATTTTAATTCTTTTCTTGCTACTGATGTTTGTGAAGAAGGAAGTATCGCAGGTTCAATTCAATATGAAGATTGAGCTAATATGAGGGATGTCACAAAGTTTCTTGAAAAATTTTATGAGCTCACTTTGAACGTTTCAGATTCACGGTTTGTTACTTGTAATGTTCATTTTGAAGATATATGTGAACTTGATGCTTATTTGAAATTATGTATGGCAAGTGATGACCTTGATTTGAGTAAAATGGCTTCGGGAATGAAAGAAAAATTCAAGAAATATTGGGGTACTCCTAAAAAAATGAAAAAAATGATTTTTATTGCTTCTGTTTTGGATACTCGCAATAAATTTGTGTATGTTAGTTTTGCTCTTGAAGAATTACTTGGGGAAGAAATGAGAAATGTAATGAATACGAAAGTAGAGGCTTACTTGAGGGATTTGTTTGCGATATATATAAATAAGTATGGAAAAGGTTCCAAAAGTCAACCATCTTCATCTGACTCATCTGATTCTTCTGCTTGTGGTATTTCTCAAAATGTGTCCAAAAATTCTTTGAGAACTAAGTTGCACATAAAGAAACAAAAACAAGATTCTGAAAGTTTAGGTATTAAATCTGAGTTGGATAAATATCTTCTTGAAGACCAAGAGCCTGAATCTGGAGATTTTGATATTTTGAGTTGATGGAAAGTTAATTATCCTAGATTTTCTGTACTTTCAAAGTTGGCTCGAGATGTATTGGCTATTTCTATGTCGAGTGTGACATCGGGATGTGCATTTAGCACCGGTGGTCGTATTCTAGATCCCTTTAGAAGTTCATTGACTCTCAAATGTGTGCAATGTCTTATTTGTGTCGAAGATTGGCTTAGACAAGAAACCAAGCCTATTTGTGTTGAAGAAAGTTTGGAGTTTCTTGAAAAAATTGAACTTGGTAACACTTTTTATTGTTTATTTATTTTTGGAAAAAATAAAATACTTATTGTGTTTATTTTGTATGACATGTTTCTTTTTCTTATTTATAGAGATGACAAATAGTGGAAGAAACTCTTCCATTGTTGATCTATGATTGACTTGCAAGCGGTGAGTTTAATAC